TACTTACACCACGCAATAGTAATAATACTTTACAGTAATGTTTAATCACACCCATAATAACATATATTTCAGTACCCTATGCATATAGTTTCTGTACCGTATTACTTTTTAGATACAGGTTTGTTAGGACCCTTTATAGGATAATTACAATAAGGTACGGTGGCCAGGCCCATAGTGTCACGGAAACAACTTTCGAAATGTCACTGCCACATTTTTGAAATTCACGGCAGAGGGGGCGGGGAACAGGGAAGAACTTTCACAGACGTTGAGTCTATACCCTCTCAGCCCCACCATGGTTGGTGGGTCTATACCCACTCAGCCCCACCATGGTTGGGGCTGAGGTAAGAAAACTTATGGCACCTCTAGGTGGCCAGATATGGCACTCTCAAACAAACTTTAATTATGATTTTTTTTTTTTTCCATTTCTTTTATAATTTTAGGGAGCTCTCCCTTCCCCTAATCCACCACTGTGAAGTTGTAACTTTTTATGTCCTTTGCATCTGTACGTCTACAGATGACATGGGTCAATCTGCAATCACTGGAGCTGATAATTATAACTCCATGGTTGGACGAAAGATATAATATCCCTGGGGAGAAAGGAGTGCAGGCAGTGCAATCGTACCCTCTAAATTATATCCGTCCGTGCATTTCGGAAAATAAGGGCTGATTTCCTCGCAGATTTTGCCAAAAATTAGGCTTTGACCAAATATTTTATATCAAATGCAATTATACAGCAATTATGATTCTGTGCACCTAATTTCCTACAATTTTCCGCAAAAATTTGAGGTGAATTTTCAGATATCCTCCACGCAATTAAAAAAAAGTATGGGGTGAGCTGAATGGTGTGGACTCTAATGCCCCCCCTGCTGCTAAATCCTGCATCTGCCACAGCATCCAAATAACATCATTTCCAATCCCCGTATTATGATCTGTTAAAAGCACAATTTCTGCACCATAAAAACTTTCCCTTTGAACCAGTCCCCAGACCAGGTCTAGTTGGGACCTTGGTTTGGCTCCCCCTGTAGAACATGCTGGACCCCTTTCTGCAAATTTCTGGAGCCACCGTTGCCCCAGGTATTTTTGTTTGGGGACCCTGACAAGGATCTAATCTATCGGGCACCTTGGTTCGAACATCCGGTCGGCAAATTTTCCGGAGTTAAACTGAACAGGGCAGGGCTGTTCCCTGCTATCTATGGGCCACGTTCGAAACTGGGTCACCAAAATATTTTGTACAGTGTCTGAACGTTGAAGAAAAAATAGATGTCGCTCCTACCATGTAGGAGAAGATCATTCGGCAACGGATCCTTTTGACACGACAAACTACAGTAATGTGTTTCCCGCCATTTTTAATAATGGGCGTATTATCTTATTATAGTACAGTATTAACATTTTTTTTTGTTAGCAACAACTTGGCAAGGACACGCTTTTATATGCTTCATCACGGTAGTTGTGCAATAAACCGTTCGATTTTAACTCATTAAATATCTTTAAAATTGACAATGTTCCCCTGAGCGGGTTTTTTGTGACTTTTTTTTTTAGTATGATGTTATGTATAATTCAGGAACATATTCCGCAAAATATTTCTGTTAAAATTACTTCTGTGTTCATTATAATTTTATCTAAAGATTGATTGGTTCGTCTGTAAAGGCTAAGGCAGTGTAAAACTGAAAATCACTCTGACTTTGGATTGAATTTTCGAATAGTCCACACTCGTTTACACTAAAACAACTTAGTTTATTATAATCCTCAATCATTCCTTAATTAATATCTGTTAAAATTAGAATTATCAAGTTTTATCCAATTTATGGAAACTCAAGTGTAAATATACCATACTTTTAAAACTCATGTAAATAACTCAAAGATAAATGTATTAGCATCAAGGTGGAAACAATTGCGAAGTGATTGTCTGTAAGTAGTGCACATTGAGAAAAGAAGGTGCTCTCCATTTCGCCATGTTTAATTTTTTGGTAAAATAAGCTTGTTGAGTATTTGGTGGCGGGGAACACATTAGACTTCAAAGGCATCACGCAAACATTCTTCACGCGCTGCGGCAGCTTCGTTCTCGCCTCATTTCCATAGCGCTGTGTGCGCGGAGCTTTTTCAAGTGATCTTCTCAATAATACCTCCGTGCTCCTACTACATTGCTAAGCTTCATGGGAATTCTCCTTCCTTGAAGACCCTGAGAAGAAATAATTACTATAGTCTAACAAAAAAAAAATTCTTGGGCCCCAGGAGATCCCAGTACTGCAGTGTAATGGATACATGTTTTTCCCTTATCCCACCTAACTCTCATGTAAGGGTTTTTCGAGGAGTAGAGTGATCTGATCTGACTCTAATAAAATCCGATGCTGGCCGGGTTTGAACCGAAGTCTTCAGCACCAGAAGGAGGAACAATACCTCTCGGCCAAACAATCGACTAATCAGTGATAATAATGACACTTTTCTGTGGGGGAAAAAAGCATTATCCTCATTGACATTCAAACCAAAGACTCTGACCATCCGTATACTCTACCAACTTGGCTACAGTTATGAGGAGAACAGCATTGGCGCCAGCTGAGTTCAGAAGGCAAATTGCGTCGCCCTCCTCTTTATTAAAAAAAATCCAGTATTTAAAATCTAAAAGCAAATTTAGAAATTAAACATTGAAACACATTTGTTGTTTATTATTTAAAAAAAAAAAACTATTCACATATCTTACAAAATACCTAGTATATTTAACTGTTAATTGTCATTGGTTTTACTCCTTGGTGAATAGAGGTAAATTGTCTTGCCCAAGGACACAAATGAAATCCATAGCTAGGGATTGGACCTCCGACCTGAAGGTTGAGATGCAGAGCTCTAAATGCTGTGCCAATCCACACCTAAATTATTAACATGGATATTGAAGGTATAAAGTTAGGAATATCAAAGCTATATTGTTTGTGTTATAGTTATTGTTATTAATATTACTATATTATTTTATGATTATTCAGTTAAAATGGAGGATCTGCTGGTACCAGATACACCTGCTGGTCAGAGGTCAATAAATTCTCAGAAAGAGGTCGAAGAGCCATCTTGCTGCTCACCAACCCGTTCCAAGTTGAAGACTTCCCCTATCAGAGTGTTCAGTGTGATCCATATTGTGTGTGGTTTCTTGTCCATTGGATTGGGCATCGTAGCATGCACCTTTGGTTGTCAGTATCCTGGCGCCGCCATTGTAGCTGGCATAGTAGTAAGTTTCATTTCAATTTTTTTAGGCACGAGCTTAATCACTTGTCCTATGTGGCATATCTGTTAAACAACAGGGGACTTAATGGACCAGTACACCAGGGTAACCCCCTTACTCATCTCGAATGATGTACTGGGTTTTTTAAAGTACACACGAGCCAAATGCGTACACTGAGCCTAAGGTTTAAAGTCCTTTTCCGAGAAGACTTGTTCCGCCACCGGAACCATTGGCGAGTGAGCCATTCGAACTAGCGCCGATATTAGAGCTGAAGTTTATGGTGCCCCTGACTTAACCGCTCGACCAATCAACTCGCCCCTAATTGCGGCACACAAATATACATAAACCCTATGTTTGCAGCCTTTCAAACATCTTTGGTTAAAAATCCCCTTGTTTCTTATGGCCCGACACTGACCATCTGTTAAGTAACATGTTAGAACTGAGTAAAAAGTGATATATAAAAGCAGACCATGAAGGTTTTTGGAAGCACAATGGAAATCAAAGTTTGTGTGTGGCCCTTAGAGTTAAATCAAAAATTTACTTTGGACCTTAGACACATTTTAATGCCCTACCCCCCCCCCCTTCTCCCACCCNTATCCTGCCATGCATGCTGGGGGAATCTGAAATCCCTCAAAACTTGAAATTTTAAATCATTAGATTGCCCACTTCAAAAAGAATACCCAGAAAATTTAAGTCCATATATGCAAACCCCTCTTGATCTGGGGTGGATGCAGAGGGTGCCATCGCACCCCCTAAATTGTATTAAGAAAAATAATTGTTGTGTTATATTTTATGTAAATCTTAACATAAATTTCCTATTTTGATGTCACATAATTCGTAATTCAGCATTTTTGGCTGCCATGTTTTATGCTTTTTATAAATTTTGAATATATATATATATATTGTTGTACGGTATGAGAGTGCAATTTCCGGGCACCAGAAGCAGGCGCGGATCCAGACCTCTTCGCACCGTTCCAGTATAAAGTGATAGCAGTGCCTGGTTGTCTGAGAACTATTAATTCAGTGTGTATTCATTCATCAATAGAAGTCTCGTAATGCACATCAGTATATTTTTCCAGCATCAAGAAAAAACAAAACTCTCTGAAGTTAGGAGAACCTCAAGACTACCGCAAACCACCCCTCCGCCCCACGTCTAAAATAGTCTTGCAGCGACGGAACAAGCAAACATTACGTTATCTTTCCATGACCCCGCCCACTGAGGGACCCCATTATGTGTGATAGTCAGGGTAAAGCTCGGTTTCCATATAATCGCTCAACCTATCGGCGACAGTCGCCAACAGTTGTCAGCAAAGTTGACCCTGGTTCAACTTTTCCAATTGCGTTGATAACACAAACGAATCAGGGTGCATTGCTAGCTGGCCTGCACAATAGGGAAGGCACCCCGATTTGTCTGTGAACTGTCACGACTTTCGCCGATAGGGTGAGCATTTCTATGGAAAGAAAACCCAGCTAAAACTCTGGATCCGCACCTGAGAGGTCACTATTCTCAACATTTTCTATTCCCTCAGCCCCAACCATGGTAGGGCAGTGGGGTGGACCCTCACGCACCCCCTACTGTCAAATCCTGCATCCGTCCCAGCTTGATTTGCCCTGTATATAAATTTATTTTTTTTACTCCACTAGTGTATTGTAATACTTCATATTTTTTACATATATAAAGCCTATACTGTATTTATATTATAGTTGGCTGGTGATAACATTTTATTTTTATATCTTATTTCATTACTAGCCTTAACTTTTCATTCATTGAATTCATGTATTCAATCAACAGTCAACCCACTTTAGAACTATTATATATAAAACAGTTAAATTAATTTTTTTTCATAATGATTGTTGAAAAAAATAGTTTATTACACAAGCTAAGTTCTTGTAAAGAATTGTTTGAAAGAAAGCTTTTAAAAACTGTTAAGATTTTATTGTTTATACAGTCATTATACAAGATATTTAGGTGGTTGATCATGACCAATATAATAAAGTGTACAGTAGTTTTATTTTGTTTTATTGTATCTTGAATACAATATTCTATGATTATTGCTGACATTTTTTGTTTATTTTCTCGCTGTAGTTTGTAGTGACTGGTGTCATTGGGATGCTTGTGACAGAACATGGAGTCATGGTAACTTTTCATTTTTATAGTTGATTGTTCAAAGTTCATACTTAATTTGTTCTTTCGGAAATTTATTATATTTTATTTCACACTGTACTTAAATAATTAATAATGATTTTTATAAATTGAGTTTATAGAAGGGTCATTCCATGCCTTTATTGCATTAAGTTACAAAGCTGCATTGCTATTCTCAGTTATGTGAAGCCATTCTTCTAGAATCTGCACCAGGAGTGCAACCAGAGAAAGGTAGGGCCATGTAAGCATCAAGTGGGGTTAATGGTTTTGAGATTTTGTTTATAGTGCTTGACCAAGGTACAAGTACATGAAATAAAAATTAACATTCTTTTTTTAGTACAGCCCTGAACTGAAAATAAGATATGTGTATTTCTTTCTAATTTCCGGTATACAAATTTAAAGCATTTAACCATCTCATTACTACACTGTTTACACATTCACCAATAAAATTTTATTTTTATTTTCTGCTTCATCTGGATTTTTTGGCAAAACCTTTTGCTACATAAGAAAACAAAATTTTTATTTATATTTTTTTTGCCGCTCTACTCTGACGATCTTTAAAAAATTTTGTGAAACATGATATAAAAAGCCTTGCCTAGTAAAACTGTATAATCTCAGGCAAGCCAACTAATCCATTTTTAACCAGTTTTTTTAATATTCAAAAATTAATACCCTTATTATCAATTTAATTGTTTTAATATCTTCATTATACAACAAATTATCAAACAAATGTTGCGCTCTGGAGCCTGTCTTTAAATGTATCAGAAGAAATAAGTATAAAACGATGTTCATTTGGTAGCCAACACTTATGTACAGGGACATAAGTGTCACTTTGGTGATTACCATCTCAAGTATATTGAGAAAATAAACAATGAACTTTGAACTTCTATTTGCAAATACTGTATCACCTTGCTCCTGACTATCATAGATTATTATCATGTATGTATCATGTATTTAAACTCAAGATAGTTGTTAAAATATTATTTGCTCTATAACATAACATGGTAATGGTAATGATTGTGTGTTTTTATAGCTCATATTGTGGCTGTACAGTCTCTATGCCTTAAAAGAATAAAAATCAAAACCTGAGAATTATCCTGAAACTAACAAAGGGAAACAACCGAAGAGACAAAGAGAAAAGAGCAGAAGGATCGAACCAGTGCCACTGCTCCATTCTCCAGCATCAGTGAGATCCTAAATAAAGGGCTCGTTGGAATATGCTTCACAGTAGCTCAAGCGAAACTGCCATACTGGCTATCAACTAGGAAATTCTCAACTAATAAAATTTACAAGAATGTAATATTGTTCTTTTTTGTCTGCAGGCTGCAGTGTATGGGTTTTTATGTGTTTTTAGCTGTCTGTTGAGTATTGTTCTGATGGTGCTTATGTTAATTGCTTCGTCTTATGGAGAAGGTGAATATAGAGACACTTGCAGCAGTCATGATTGTAATTATAGCTACCCAGACAACTGTTGTTCTGACTACAAATTTTTCATAACGGTATACATTTAAATTTTTTTGGCAAACAATAATACTAAATAAGAACACAATTCTTTTCCGCCCTTTATTCGCTATGCTAGGTATAAAAAGTTTCGCTTAAATAATAAAAGTACTTATTTAAATTTTTAAAATTGTAAGATGAAAACCTTTCTTTTTTTAGTGGAAAAATGCTGCAGTTGATGTGGGAATTCTGGCTGTTGCTGTTGTTGAATTGGTTGCTTCCTGGCTGGCTGCGACTCTGAGTTTACGCAATACAAATTGGATCACAATTTGCTGTTTGAAAAAAAATATGGTACGTTTCATTGAATTTCTGATATTGTACTCCCAACGGTAGAAACAGAAATTAAACTCAGAAGTTAACTGATTTTTTATTATTTTTTAATTATAGAATGAAATGCAGTTTCCAAATTCTGATCAGAGAACTAGAGCTGAACCCTCAGGTAAGAACATCTGGAGGGTTGGGGTGGTGATTTCATAACAAGATCTAATACCCTTTTCACATGGTATTGGTATATAAATAGTAAAAACCAGTAACATGTTGTAACTAGGTTTATGTAGTGTGAAAGGAAGTCAGACTTTCCGAGATAGGACCCCTGCAATATCTCAATTAAAAAACATGCCTAATCTAGTTCTGTTTGTTCTTCCAAGATGTGTCAAGAACAATATAAAGTAAATGACAGCAGCACTTTTGAGACTAACAATACAGAATTTATCCTCTAGCTTTCGTCCACACAGCGGACTTCATCAGGAGACTGTACAAATGGGATAAGAAACAACTTTAATATACAACTGAAATAATGGGGGCGGTCCTAAAACAACAAAGAATGGTGTACAAAGCATACAAGTCTGCCGAAATAAGCAATCTAAATAAACAGTATTAAAAGATCAATAATAAGAAACTGTGGGAAATAGCATACAGGAGAAGTCTATGTCAAAGTCAATGATGAAAACAGTAAATTGGCAGTAAATACAGTAT